CAGATTTGCCTCGCTTCCCACAAAAATTAGGTATGTTGTTCCATTTTTTCAACTATTTGAAATCTCACAGTTCCGTTTCAACTCAACCTTACATAAGAATGAAATACGAATAAATAACTTTAAGTGCAATTTCTGTTGAACGATGCAATGACGGTACGCACCGTCTAGAACATTCTGGTATCAACTCGTAAGCCATTTTTAGTTTTATTCTCTTTCCGTTATTGTGCAAGAATTTCTAAGCACTGAATACAATGAATAATTACCGACTGAGTCTCATAAAGGTGTGAGACGGAAATAAGTTAAACTTTTGCAAATCAACAACTACTTCTACCAATTTCCTTATCTTGGTTGTTATCATCACAACGTTCCGGTCGTTTTGTACTCCGACCTTCTTCAAATGTCTACCGATCAATCAGGGAACTTCGAACTGAACCCCTTATATTTAAATTTTGATTTGTTGATTTGTACCTGGACTTCTTTTTTCATTATTTTTTAATAATTTCCAGTTATTGTTCTTCCTGTTTCCACTGAGTCAGAGTCTGTAGTATCCAAATCAGGGATTGAACCCACAATAACTAGACCATAGTCCAATGAAGGCAGGGCTCGCAACAATCGAGTCGTACTAAAAAAGATAAAAGGAAGATCTGTAAACATGAACAACATAAAGAGAATAATCTACGGCCATAGATTAAATAAAGATTTCAGTTCCAAATTCCCTAATGATTATCTATATAAATATAAGTACTAATATAGCATTAAGTATTATTCGTAACATACATTCTTCAAATGCTCCGAAATGAGTCATCAGTGAGTGTTTTCCTGGCTTCATTATGAGTTTTTAAACATCAAACTCTTTCCGCTGCTTGTGTTAATTCTCATCTCGATGGTCGCGTGTAAGCAATTCTACAGACAAGCTTTCTTTAGCCGATTTTCAGTTTGGGTGGGATTCTTAAGGATTTTAAAATATTTTGACCATTCTATCATCAGCCAATGAACTTATTCGACGCAAGTGTTTATTTCTTCTGGTTCCCTGAAACGTTATTTGGAGTTATTTGTTTATTTAATATATTTTCTGTTTATATGTTATTTTTATAGATACAATTTATTAAAGAAAATGTTCTGTTTTTTTTTTAATTAAACAGTGTTACATTTACCGTCCTTTTGAGAATTTACATAGAAAATTATGCATTCTCCCACAGGAATCGAACTTATTTTCCTATATCGGAGAACGATCTTTTTCTCGCACTTTTCACCTGTGAAACTCCCTTCCAATTTCTTGCTTCTCGGTTCACTACAATCTTCAAAAATTTAAATGCAATGTCAATTGTCATTTTCTTGAACCCTGTTCCTTTTTTGTCCTTTCTTCAATCCTCCCTATTTTCAATCTTCTCATTCTTTTTCATTTTCACTTCCTTTAACCCCCCCCCGCCGCGTTCTAGTGGCACTGTAGCATTACTTGGGGGTGAAATGATTTTTTTTTTAAGTATTGGGAGCTGCAGATTCTTAGTGCTCTTAAATAGAATCCTATAATTATTTTGTTGCACTGGTGAGAATAGAAATTAATAAGATCATTCTTGTTGGTAGATTTTCTGTAAACCTCCAACTGAAGGTTATTATCAATTCTATATAGCATGATATCGAGGAAAGGTAAAGTCTCACATTCAAAGGTAAAAATCTATTTACTTTGGAAAATTGATTTGCTATAGAAACCACAACAAGAACAAGAGGTCTACAAGGTAATTGATTGATTGATTGATTGATTGATTGATTGATTGATTGATTGTTTTGTTTGCTAAAGGATCATCCGGTGGGGGCTAAGCTAGGGTCACAACCCATACACAGCATTGATGAGACATCTGGCACAAATTGACAAAATGAAGAAAAGTGGCTTTTCGATTATTTCATTGGTGATCATCAATTTTCACTTAAGCGTAATTTTCTTTGGGTTAACAAATTTTCTCCCTTCTCCACTAACCCAAATGTTCACAACAAAATATTCTTCTGAGCGTAATTCATTACATTCGATTGCATCTTATTCATACTATCACGGTAGAGGCTGATTATCACTGTTTAGAGCCGATGCATCAAAAGTAGCAAATACTTTGGCCAGAAAAGATGAAAAGAAAAGGTACCAATTGCTTTAAGGTAACACAAGACCTTAATACTTCACAAATCACCTGACAAGCCATGATGCATTTAGGCCTTATTAATCAGACCTTTTCATTACCGATTATTATTTTTCAGAGTCATGAGATACGCCAGCAGGGATTGAACAAAGCTGATCAAGTGAGAAATACCATTTCAGTTATTGAAGTCAGTAGAGTTGTCGATTTCACTGACCTCGATTTTTATTGTAACAGAATAAATTTACTGTCGGGAGAATTATGTCGATTCTAGCGCGTTGTGATTAATAAAGCCACTGTTATGATTGGAATTTACTATAAATGCACAAAAAAATTCACGGCCTTCCGAATTTCATTTTATTCTTAATCATAATGTTTAATTTAATGTTTACATAAACCTCTTGCGAGTTTTACGACAGTGAAATCCCCATGGAAATTCTCCCTAATGCATCTGTAGATATTTGGTTTGGTTTGGTTTGGTTTGGTTTGGTTTGGTTTGGTTTACGGCATATCAACATCAATGGGTTATTTAATGTCGACAAGATTTTTATTGCTGGTAATAATTTTTTCATAAATGTATTGCTGCTAATATATTTTTCCAAAAATGTATTACTGGTAATATTATTTTCTTCAAAAATGTATCGCTGGTAATATTTTTTTATAAAAATATATTGCTAGCATTAAAACCTATTTTTACACTTTCATAGTATTTTGACCCCAGTTTGAGGGTTAACTATTTGTCCATACCTGGGACCCCCCCCCCCAACAGGTGCTTTTTCTTACAAAATGTATTGCTGGTAATTTTTTCCCCAAATTGTACTGCTGGTACTTTTTTTCAAAAATGTATTGCTGGTAATAATTTTTTCCTTGCTATTGACAATTTTTAACAAAAAAGTATTGCTGGTATTAAAACCTATTTTTACACTTTCATAGTGCTCCGACCCCAGTCTGGAGGAGTCAACCATTTGACCATAGCTGGGACCCCAACAGGTGTCACCACCTAGGTCAGGGTCTACCCGGGAAAACCAAGATTTTCTTAGCTTAGATGTGGCACAAGGCCGAAAGTATGGAGTCCCCAGTGAGAATCGAACTCACAACTCAGTTGTAATTTTTCTAGCGAGATGAGCTTGCCAACCATTGCATCACAAACAGAAATATAAGATGATGGTTTAAAACAACAATTTATTTTATTCCAATCTGACGCTTAAATAAAACCGGTTGATAAACACAGATCAGCAACAAATACAATAATGGGGAGTGTTAGCTTTTGTGTGCATTTTTTGTCTATAATTTCTGTCAACGTTGAAATCAAACAAATTAATTCTGACCTGATTCGAACGTTAGACCTGGAAATCGGTAAAACAGTCACGCCTGCTTTTGGTATCGTAAACGGAACGGTAATACTAACTCTCAAATAATAAATTATTCAAAGCACGCATATACAACACTGATCTTAGGCAATGGGCTAGAGACTGACACTTTGAGTTAAGGTAGAATGCACAGATATTTTGATCTGGAGTAAAAGTGCCGATCAATAAATCAATAATTTCGTCTTTTTTATGAGTGTCTTGGTAGGTACTGTAATAAGAAAAAAAAACTTATTCGAATAAATAATTCAATTTTTCGCGCTTTTTTTCTTTTTCAGACACTTGTACAGCAATGTGAAATATAAAAGGATTTATTTTATTATAGAAATCTAAAATTCTTCTCTTGACATCGCTTTCAACAATTACAAAGTAAACAAGTTCTTTTCCATTGCAAGCAGCCAGCGTCTTTATTATGATAATTAAAATTGTTAATAGTAGATAAGAATACACTTATATTCTTCTGAGATACTCATAGAAAATGAACATATATTGTTCTCTGGCGTCGAGCACGTTACTTTCTCACCACACATAAAATTCACCATGCGTCTTTGACGCTGATTGCAAAATTGTTATAATTAATTATAGAAAGAGTGTTTTGATAAGAGATGGTAATTTTAACACTTTATCATACACCTGAATGAACTGTATAAACTATATTTCACTATCACAAGGTGGTATCGAAAAACTTCCAGGTCTGTATATACAGTAATTATACAGGTGATTAGAAACGCACACTCAGCTTACGTTCAGTGCTACCCCGCCTTATTGAGTTAGTCTGCTAACAGGCTTCCTGCTATTGAATGCTTATCTAATTAGTAAGCAAGGTTTTTATAATGCCATGTTGGAACATCTCTACGATCTTTGCGATAAATGACAAAATCGAGGAATGTTTGCATGTGTTTCAGGTACACTGACATACATTAATTTTTTCACGGTAATGGCATCGAACATGGTGAATTAAGAAATACATTTCTTAACCCCACTAGTGGAAGCCTTTTACGTCGCACACAATGTTGTAGTAATTCAAGTTAGAGAATATCACTATGGCGACATCTAGAAAATTAAGTCGTGTTTTTATTCAAAAAGTCATAACTGACCGTAAAATTGGACATTGGTTTGCAATTCATTGAAAGATGAACCCAGACAAGGGCTTTCATCAGACGTTGATGATAAAGTTATTAATGCAAAACAATACACGGCAAATTACTCGAGGAATTAGCAAAGATCACAATCTACCATATGCCGATACTTAACACCTTTGTATTGATTGATTGATTTGTTTTTCTTACGGCTTATTAACCTTTTACAGGTTATTTAAAGCCAGAAAATAATTTGAGATTTTCAGAATGTTTTAGAGATAATAATTTTTACTGATACACGTTATACTGATTAACCCATAGCTGGGGGTAGGTTAGGTCAATTCATATAAGAACTCGACTGGAATTGGTACTCGGGTCTCCGATTTGCACTTCCGAGCCGTTATACGTTACCCCAACGGCACATCCAAGCACCTAAGCAATCATCCATTTCAATACTGACCAGGTTCAACATTGCTTAACTTCGGCGATCGTACGGGAACCGGTGTTTCAACATGATACGGTCGGAAGCCCTAACGCCTTTTGAACGCCTAATCTCACTCCAGAATGAATTGAATATAAATTACATTTTAGTAGAACGAGGCGGCATCCAAAAGTTCCAGTACTGCAGATACAGTAATTGGACAGTTCATTGTAAATGCACGCTCACCCTAACCCTGTTTATTGAGTTAGTCTGTCAACGAACTCACTGCTATCTAATCCGTGTTGAAGTAGTGGGTCTAGATTTTGAAATCTGAAAACTCTGAGATCTTTGCCTTAAATGACAAACTCGAGCGACCTTTTTGCATCAGATTTTTCTTGAAGTTCGACAAATCTGCTTCTGAATCCACCGGAATTATTCTTCGATGTTCATGCAAACATTCTTTTGGTCTAACATTGGTTTTTGACTGACGCGTGCGTTCTAAAGACGGTCGAGTGTCGGTTCTACTTGATGAGCGTTCTAAGTGATCAATCACTCTACAAGTGATTGATTGTTTAGAGAATATGAAAACAAAAATCGCGAACTCTTCCATGCGAAAAGGTCACTGAACAATCCATTAGCTCTCTCCCAATTATAGAAGATATTCCCTGTTTCAAAACATTACGATACCACCTTATAAATATTGTAATAAATTAATTTTACCGAATACAATACATTTCAGCAGTATTTGTAAGGTAACATAAACTAGTCATTTTGCCCTGAACATTATTCACAATAACGGATTGTCTTTACTAGCCTTCTCCACAAGCTCAAGGGCTACGGTGCCACGAGCTTATATTTGGCTTAATTCAATCGTTCCTAGCAAATAAAAATCATGTTACGAAAATAATATTGAACGAGCATACTTCCAAATAATTTCATACTAACATGGGAGGGTCACTCGGGCCTGTATCCTTGGACCTATGCTGTTTCTGATCTCCATCAATGCACTCTCCGATGTTATCGATGTTATTCGTTCCAAACTAGGCATTTATGCAGATGACACAGCCATTTTCTCCTGTCTTAGTAGCAAATCCTACAGACCCGACAAAATAAACTTGACAACTGCTCTCAAAAAGACTTCCAATCAGTGATTAACTGGGGAAGGAGATGCCTTGTAAATTGTAACGCCCCCAAATCAAAACTGCACCAATTCTGCCTGCCATTATATGGCTGATGCTAACCTCCATCAAATCAACATTTGCGCTTTTTTGGCCTCACGTTTTCTACTGACATAAAGTGGATTGATTATATTAAATTAATTGCCAGGTCTGCTGCTAAGAATGTTGACTCATTAGTTTTGTGACGTACGGTAGCCGTTAATAACTCAAGACTTCAATGTTAAAATAAAACAGTATTTAATTACAACCGCAAATAAATACTTAACAGGAACAAAGAAATAAAAGTCAACCAAATATAATTAACCATTTCAGTAAATACCTTGTTAGTAGCGTGGCTCGGCTTAACGTCCGGTAAATCTTAAATTAAAACCCAAATCATCGACGCACAATAATTCACACTAATTCGACTGGATAGTTCCACTCAATAGTTACCCAATAATCACTGCAGTCAGTAGCCTGACACCGCTGTTTATACAGCTGGCGTAAAACATATATTCATAAGTCTAGAGTGTCACGTTCAAACCTCGGAGTTGGTAGTTACTTACTTTCTTCCTATATGACTTTTACATTGTGCCAGATATTTTTTCCTCGGAATCTATATTGCATATTTATAAATCTACCATTCGCCCGTACCTCGAATACCGTTGTCATCGCTGGTCTGTTGTTCCTGTTGTATATCTCAAGATTCTTGACAAAAATCCAAATTAGGGTCTGTAATGTAATCAATCCTGACCAGGCATCTCGACTTCAATCACTTTCTCAATCGACGTGACATGACTTCCCTGTGTCTTTTCTAAAAAATATTTTCATGGCAGCTGCTCTGATGAGCTTTTTTCCATGGGGCCTCAACTGCATGAATTTAAGCGTACTACTATATTGGCAAATAATTTACACCATTTTACTGTTAAACTATCTAGATTCAGCCGTCACATCTATTCTAATAGTTCCTTTTCTCACACTTCTCGCCTGTGGAACTCTCTTCCGATTTCTTGCTTCCATGCCAATCTTCAAAATTTAAATGCAACGTTAATCGCCATCTTCTGTCTTCCTTAAAGCTGTTCTTTTATTGTACTTTCATCTCACTTCTTCTTTCTGAAGTTTTCTCATTCTCTTTCACTCCCTGTATTACACTCTGCATCTTAGTCGTTTTATTGCCTTGATTGGAGTGAAATAATTAAAACAGAATCTTTTTAAAACAAATGAAGATTTCAAATGGGATGTCAGCCATCATCTTGTCCAAATTCCTGGGGTTGTAACACTAAGGTTTACTCCCTTGTACTTACTACCTTGAAGCTAAATCGGGGTTCGAATCGCCTGTTCGTAATGTACCGTTTATTTTATTTCTTAATCATTGGTCGTTATTTTATAATTTCCATTAAGGAATACCCAGTGAGTAAAATATGAATGGATTGTGACAACCAATTTATTAGACACAGAGCAACCAGAAATGTCTCTCGTATTTTTTATAAAAATGAGTGACAAATATCTTCGGTTGACAATAAAGAATTCTTTCAACCCCTGTAACCCACTGAGTCTTAGTGGTATTCTTGGGGGGTGAAACAATAATTACCTGACCCCTTAAGCTAAAAATAAACCGTGCGTTGTAAATAGATGAAAAGAATGATAGAAATACCGTTTTGAAAATAAATACAAAAAATAATTCTTTAGATTTGCTATTGTTACTTTATTTTGTTTTACGAACGTAACAGAAAAATTCATTTTTACAACCTCTTACGTTTCTGTTTCATTTATATGGGCAAGTGAGGAGTTTCTTAAAAGCTAGTGTATTTTCGACTCTAGAAAATATAGCATATGTAACTGTGTTTTTCGTAAGAGTTATCCCGTTCCGAAATGTTTGCTTCACAAGTAATCAATATCCGTCAAAAATCGAACAGGTAACGAATACAAATATCGTATATTTTTCGACGATAAATAAATGATACATATTTTTCCACCGCCACCCCCACAAACCACCCACCCCGCTGCAAGACATCCGCGAAGGAATGAGAATACGATACAAGAACATGAGGAAAATCTATTTTTACCAGATAACAGATAGAAGACGGCTATTTAGTTTTCAGTAGTGTTTGCGTAAAGATATCAAATTTTATTGCCACTGCAAAGAGGATGACGCAAACAGACGGTTCTAGTTCTGATTATTCTTTCCTCCGCTATAAAAACAAAACCCAATTCTCAATATTTTAAATATTATTATTTTTATTATTTGCTTCATATCAACAATGAAAATGCAAGAATGAAAATTGTTTGCTTTTACTGTGTTTAGTTTGTATTTTTCTTTTTCTGAATATTTTTATTATTTCTCCTCTTCGTCTTCATCCACCTCCGCCTTTTTTACTTATGCACCCCTTCCTTCTTCTACTTCTGAATTTTACCCTATATAATTTGGCGTGTAACGAGAAGAAGCATTTTTTTACCCAATCTTGTTGAAATTCTTAATAAAAAGCAGACAACTCCTGTACAACAGACATCTGAGCTGAAAACTAAAAAAAAATGAAAATTTCTTATATCAAAACTTAACTCTCTAAATTTACTTACTTCCCCTTGTTAGGTTGTGTTTCTTTTTCGTGACATAACTTTCTCACTTTGTATTTTTACTGCTTGTCTTTCTAACACATCGCATTTAATTCCAAACATCTTAATTACCCGGTTCATATCTAACTTGAGGAATTCATCTCAAATATTTTTGACCACGTAATTCACTCCAGGAATCTTTTTTTTTAATCTCGTTTCAACAATTTTTTCACAAATATCAGGCTTAACGTTTCCCTGCCCATGCTCTGTTACGTGAAAACTTTCGTCTGCTTTTATGTCCTCGGCGTTGGTAAAACTTGCAAAGACATTCTCGCTCAGGTACGACAAATGTACTGAAGACTTAATACAATTAGCTGTTTATTTGTGCAGGATTGGCATAGGTTTCACGAGTAATAAGTTTTAAAGAATGTAAATCTGGATACGACAGATTAAAAACAAAGCCTTCATCAGATGATAATCCTGAGATTAGCAAAAGTTTTGTAACTGAAGTTGTAACAGGGTACTGTCCCCGTTTAAACTTTTAAATGCATGAAATTACATGATGGTGAGTTGGAGAGTCTACTGATTGAACGATAATTGTTTGAAATTCTCAGGAAAGTGGTTTGAATGGTTGAGAAGAAAATTAAAAACGAAGTGCGTTAAAAATTATGTTTTAGAATAATAAAATGAAATTAAGAACAGTTCCAAGGAGAATCGAACCCAAACTTAACTAGACAGAATTTAGCAAGATTGAGCAAAACCAAGACTCCCCAACCTCCCCACTTACCACTGATATGAAAGAGATAATTAATGTATCGTCCAAATTGCTTGTTTCCTGAGAATCTAGATAAAACAGACACTGTTTACATTAGTTTATCGATAAAGAAAACTGGTGCTCACCGAAAATATCGATTTAAATTATTCTTGACAGAAACAGGGAATATCTGGTTTATAAAGAAAAGTCGTGTCGACCAACTCCAAAAAATATCACTACTAAAAGATTAACGAGGTTGGGAATGTACAAGGGAAATACCATAAAGCCTAAGATTAGGAACGGCATTGTTTATCTTTCTTTCTGCGACATTCACCTAAAATGTTTATAGCTGACATTATTTTGAAGTTCTGGCCCGAGTGTGACAGACCAGATTTCGGCTTATGGAGAAAATGGAGATAATTAAATTTGAACACTGTGAATAATCCTTTTCTTTCGTCTGTATAGGTAAAGGACGTCAGTCATTGTCATTGTTATATATATATATATATATATATATATATATATATATATATATATATATATATATATATATATATGGCCAGCGCACGTTCACTGGGTAATCATTCTTTGCCAAGTGTGAAGCAGACGTCAGAACCGAGGGGTACATCCGCATTTCAGTG